ATAAAATATTAATCTCATTAATGGTTATAAATTTGTAAAAATACGCTCGACTTCCCATCACGGATGGATAAGAGCTAATGGAGACATAGGACGAGCAATTCAGTCTCTGTGTCAAAATTAATTGGGCCCATTTATCAAAACTAAACAAAATTACGTTCCTTTATATGCTGAAAATGTTTATTTCTGGAGTGAAGTGGCTGGAGTGTGAAGATAATTACTGAATCATTTTGTGTCAAGATTATGATGCCATCGAAGTTTAACTTCATTTCCCTTTCGTTCATCCACCTTTATCTTGCTGAAAATGATGTGGTATTGGCAATGTTAATTTTTATTTTATAGACATAAAAATAGACTAATAGTCTGTATGAATAATTATGTAAAACTAAGGGGGGAGAGGGGATTTTGTTCATTGGCTTCATGTATTCTTTGTACACCTTAAGCATTTATCATTCCACAAGACCCAAAATCCCTTAACACCAAATTATCATTAACCAACGTTTACTTATTATATAGACAGATATTTCATGACGTTCTTTTTTTTTACTGGAGAAAATTCACAGTATGTAAGCAATAAATTATATAGGTAGACAGGTTACGTGATAAATACACGAAGTAACTTGAAACAAAAGTGTCTGATATCGATAATTGGGATACGAAGTGTCGTTGGGTATGCAGAAGTGGTCGTGGCCTATTACACTTATCTTTAATCAATCTAGAAACTTTTAGAAATCGCTATGCGCTTGCTCTATGTCTGGGATAAAGCGGCCAGAGCGTAAAGTTGACCATTCCCTTCCAACTGTAGAATGCGCGGTGCCCACAACCTACTTTCCCATACCACATTTTGACGTATTTGACTTGATGTGCAGCAGTCAGCTTTGCGATTAGGACTCTTTACTCCCTGGAAATTGGTAAACAGTACGATTTGGTTAGGCGGTTGCATTCGCTTCAAGGCTAATGGCAAAAACAAATTGAACTCCAGTTGTCCAGATCACACACAAGCAAAGCGGCCCAAAGTCTCAGTTGAAGTTAGCAGTTGAATGCAGTATATAATAATTAATTACCTCTAGAGGGAGTCCTTCTTGAGAAACTATAGTCTGAGAGCTAGTTAAGAAATTCCGTGGATTTGATCCCAACCGAGGGTTCAATACCGTGTTCAAAAGGCCCTGCCACTGGATCTATCCCAAGCCACTTGAATCCAGTTCACGCCTCAACGCTGTTTCCCTTATATCCGTTTTATTATCTTGCTGTCCATTCCTAGATCTTTCTCGAGTGATCTCTTACTGCCAGACTCACTTATTTTTCATCTGCCCCATACGTACTGCATGTCCTGCCAATCTCATGCTTCTTGATTTGATGATTCTAGTAATGTTTTACGAAGAATAAAATTTACGAAATAAATTGGTGCTCTGTCTTTCGGAAAAAAAAAACCTGTATAATAATCTATTCGTTTTTTGATAACCGGCAAAAGGAAGGTGCTTGGTAGCGTTTCCGGTATGTAA